GACTAACTTCTCCTGCTTGTTTTGGGATTCCATCTGCATGGTATAATCATTTTTATCCTTTAACTTTCAGCCTGTGACTATATTTGCCTGTAAAGCAAGTCTTTTTCAAATAATATATAATTCTTGTTTTTTAGTCTAGTCTATGCCTGTATCTTTAAATTGAAGAGGTGAGAACATTTTCAGTATCATTGTAGAGATATGTTTTTTAATTCTTCTCATTTTGATCTATTTCTAATGTTTAATTTGATTCTGTTTCTCATTTGCTTGGCTACTCTTCAAATGAGACTTGTTCATTTGTAAGCTCTGGGGGTTTTTTGTTTTGTTTTGTTGTAGTTTGTTTTCATTCTGTATGAAGTACTTCTTTAAGTATTTTCTATAGTATTGGCTTAATGGTCATGAAGTCTTTTAGTATGTGCTATTCTTGGAATGTTTTTATTTTCTCTTTGATTTTGAAGGATAGCTTTGGTGGATATAGCAATATTGGTTGACATTTATTTTCTTTCCAGGCTTGGAACACATTTTTCCCAGCCCTCTTGGATTTCAGTTTGTACTAAGAAATCAGAAGTGATTTCTGATTGGCTTCTCTCTAAATGTAACCAGACATTTCCCTCTTAAGGATTTTAAACTTCTTTCCATGTTCTATACATTAGGTATTTTAATTATTGTATGTCACAGAGAGGTTCTTTTTTGATCTCGTCTACTTGGGATTTTAAATGCATCTTGTATCTGAATGTCTGTCTCATTCTGAAGATTTGGAAATTTTTCTGTTATTATTTCCCTGAAGTCATTATCCATTCCATTATTCTGCCTCTCACAATCCTCTTCAGCTACAATGGTTCTTAAATTTGGTCTTTTACTGTTTCCCAAGAGTTCTTGTATATTCTGGTCATGATTACTTACTTTTTTTGAAATATTGTTTAAATATTCAAGAACAGTCACTTGTCTTCCAGCTCTGAGATTCTGTCTTTAGCATGGTTTACTTTACTAGAAAGCTTTTCAACTGAAAATTTTTTTGGTTTATTGTGTCTTTCATTTCCAAGATTCTGTTTGGTTCTTTTTTAATCTCTCTCTCTTCAATGTATTTCTCATTCAATCCTATCGTGACTTTCTTAATTCATTCAGCTATTTTCTGTGTTCTCTTAGAATTCATTGATCATTTTTATAATCCTTATTTTGAATGCTCCATCTGATATTTCATCCACTTCTATATCTTTGGAGTCAGTTGTTTGGTGAATTATGAACTTTCAGAAGCATTGTGTCATCTTGCTTTTGTATTATTCTTATATTTCTGTGTTTGGTTTTAGGCATCTGTTGAGATGGATTTCTCTTCCACTTTAATGTTTTGGCCCTTTTATAGCACAGCCTTCTCTTACCAAAGTATCCTATGTTGATCTAGATTTAGATTTCAACATTCTTATGGTATTCACACACTTTGTATTAATCTCTGGGTTTGGTGTAAGAGCAGATGTCTATGAATGGGACCTGAAGGAACCACTTAGAGGTTGGAGTTTTTATCTCTTTAATTCTTTCCATTAAAGTATAGCTAAAGTTTGGGTGTGGTTAATTTGTTTGTGGAGCAAGGTACACTGTCTTTTGGCTGAGGTTAGTTCAGCAATACAGTTTCTATCCCATGAACTTGTAGTGTCCCTTTAAGTTCCCAGCACCTTGAGAAAAAGGGGGAAACAAGCACTAGTAACAGTCAGAGCAAACAACGTAGAGCATTAAAATAAATGCCTGGTGCCTACTATGTCATCTACACCATTAATTCGTAACAAAAACAAGAATGGTGGGGTCAACCAATTGTCAATACACACACTCACACACAAAAAAAAAAAAAGAAAAAGAAAAAAAAATAATTGTGAAGTAGATCTGGTGTCAACTATGTCATCCACAGTACTAATCACTGCAACAACATGAATGGTGGTATCAGGAATTGTATAAGCCAAATAATTCTTTAAAATGATACAAACACAGTTCATTAGGAAAAAAGAAAATGTGATAGTGAGATAGAAGAAAGTTTAAAATGTTCAAAATGTGGACTGACAGAATGCAGAAGAGACCTAGCAAGTGATGTTTTTAAAGAAGGAAATGGGGAGAAAAAATAGAAAAACCAAAGTCAAGGGAAGGAAAGAGAGAACAAGAAAATTTGGCTGTTAGCAGAAGAAAAAGAGAAACATGAGAAACAAAAAGACAAAAACAAAACAACATAAAAAACAAACAAATCAAAAACCTACCCCTCACTAGTTAAAACAAGGAAAAATAACTATCATAAAAAATGAGGGAAAAAAAGAAAGAAATATATATATGTATATATTTCCATGAAACAATCAGCACAGCAAGAGCACCAGAGAGAGAGAGAGAGAGAGAGAGAGAGAGAGAGAGAGAGAGAGAGAGAGACAGAGAGAGGGAGAGAGAGAGAAAAGATTTTTAATAAAAAATAAAATAGTTGTCTCCACTGAGGTGGTCAACAGCTGACAAGGATGGATGGTCCTGCCTATGCCAAGCTGTTCTTCTTTCCATTTCATCTTGGACTGTTTACAGAGCGGGCAAAGGGAGGATGTAGGGAGTGAGGAAGAGAGAGAAAAGTAAGCAAGGGCCAGGGGTTTGTTAAATGCTTCCTCTTTTTCCATTGCTCAGCAAAATCCCCATTGGATCCTCCTAAAACTGAGGCTGGTTGAAATAACTCTCCGCCTTGTTTCTCATACAAGGCAGGATAGAGTGGGAAGTACTGTCCATTGGAGTTTTGTCTGGACAGACCAGATTGATTCATTCTGGTGGGGCTGCTGTGGAGTTCTATGAGGGAATTTTCAGTAGCTGGGACTTAAGTCTAATCAGATCTTAGGGGCTTTGTTGGGTGATATCTGCTCTGTAGAGATTAGATCAATATAGCCCTAGAGCCAGGAAGATGCAAATCCTTGCTGGGATTCTGGATTTCAAGAGCCTCACAAGAATTCTACTGTATGGGGCAGGAGAAACAACTGTCCACAAGCTCTGCTGCCCATGAATGCAGTCTCCCAAGGCTTAATCCCTAAGTATATTTACCCTTGCCTGTTCAGTTTCCTAACCCTTTTCAGCTGGTTACATGAGCTGCCAGACTCCAAGAAAAAGTGAGTGAGTTGTACTCCCCGCCATTTTTCAGACTTGAATCCCACTGGGCACAATCTTTTTCTCTTTTACTCGAATTCTACTGGGTACACCTTGTGCCATATAGTAAGTAAATGCTTCTCAGGACAGTGTAGAATGTTCGCTATGATCTCCTGGACTGCAGTGTGGCCACCTCAAAATGGTTCCACTTCAGCTCTTCACTTGCCTATTGACAAGCACAGAGCACTTTTGAAACACCAGTTTGGTATGCAGCCTCTAGATCAGCTAAGTTCAGACTGCTTTTTTGATCTACAGGTATTTCTGTGCCAGATTTATCCATTGTGCTTCTCTCTCTGCTATACCTCCCCTCTGTGATGAACCAGAACTGCTGCTGCTGCTGCTGTCACAACCAGCTTGGTTTCAGTGTACTCTTTCTTGTTCTTTGTTCAATGCACCTGTATTTCTGAGTCTCTGAGAGACTCTGTCCAATATTGAATTTTATTGAATTCCCTCTTTCACCCCTCTCACTGAGAAGCAGTACGCCCACTACTTGAATCCTGAGCCACAGAGAAACGGGAAATGTAGCCTTTCTCTAATCCTCCATCTTGAATCTTCTCTCCAGGATTCTAAATTAGATGAAATATTAACATTCATTAAAATATTCTTCATATTTTCAACTTCCTCCCTATAGTTGCTTAAATAAGCATATATTCACTTCTAAATAGATTTGAAAAAGTGTATTATAATACAAAACAAAGGATCCCATTTTCTTTAGAATTTTTTTTCTTTTTAGCATTATCCAAGTCATACAAGTAAGTCTTGGCAAAGAATGATTTGAAATTTTATGGAAGTTTTGGTCATGATCTATGTCATATTTTAGAATCATTTGTTTTCAATTTGGTATATCTATATCTACCTATGAACTCTGTAGAAAACCTTATCACAGAGCTGAAAGTGACCAACACATTATCTATTTAGTATTTGTCTTGGACATTGTACTAGGCACAGTTATATAAATAATTAGGTAGTTGAAATTTCAACACAAATTTGTGAACATTACCCTGACGTTGACCAAATAAATATTTAAGTTTCTAAAAGATCAAGGTACCATCTTTTAAGATGTACCTTACAGTTGAAAATCTGATGCAAGTTAAAAAAATATTTCCCATGTGCTTTAGATTTTTTTAGATTTCAGTTGCAATCTTATAAAATTTTATGGGACAGCTAAAAGTGACTAACTCAGTTTAAGTATTCAACATACACTTCAACTTACAAAACATAGGCATAGTTACATACAGAGTTACATACATAGTTATGAAATATCCACAGATCCCAAACCCGGAATGAACCACACGAGACACTGGCTGCAAAGAGCAGGAGGCGTTTATTCTCACACAGGCGCCTGCGGGTGCACAGCAAAACCTCAGCCGGAGCTTCGGTGAACTGGCACACCGGGCTTTGGGGTATAGATCTTTTATAGGGAACAGGTGGGTTAGGTCTTAGCTTAGCACAGCAACAGCCTTCCTATTGGTCCCTCTGAATTCAGCAGTTGAGTCACCTAGGGGGGTAAACTTGTTTTCTCACTTTAGTTCTCAGAAAAACCATAAAATTGCATCCTGTCCTTTTAGTTCCTGTTTTTACCCCGTTTGCTCAAGTTTGGCCCTTCCGGGGTTATCTATATGGAACATCTTGCAGCTTCAGGGCACAGGGGTTAGTTTTCCTAATGTTGGGCCTGGGGCCTTGGGGTCCTTCATTCCCCCCTTTTTTTATATCATGGATATAATCTTATATCCATTGACCCATCTGCTCGGATTCCAGCATTATTTCAGCTGACGGCTCAGCATACTGGTTGGGGGTTGGTATTTACTATTAATCTAATTTTGAATAGGACCCCAGGGTCATAGGCAGTTTTATGATATACTCTCAGGCCCCATTGTTTTTTTTTTTTTTTTATCCAATCTTTTGATGCTTTGCCTGCCTGAGTAAAGGTAATGTTTAAGGGGTTGCAGGCAAATGCGGTACATGGCCCTGCCCCGTACCATTTCAGGCTCCTGCAAGAGTCGGCAGAAAGTGGGGGATCCTGTTTTGTTTTTTTTTTTTTTTATTTGAATTAAATCCTAAGATGAGCTTGGCTTCTACTATGCATCCCCCGTAGTTTTATATCCCCAAGACTTACAATAGTAACTTTCATGTTGCCCACATTTTTGTGCCTGCGACTTAGTTTTCAGGCCCTAGGGTAGGCCATCAAGCCCAAAGGGGGTATTTTGCGGATTTTTTTTTTTTTTAATTATATTTCTTGTCCCCGATAATACTTGTCATGTCTGGCTCACAGATTGGTTGGGGTTAACTGATATGGGGAAGACACAGCACAAAGCAAGAAAAATTAACAGCGAGTGAGTCTTATCTTTAGCGGATTTTGGGTACGTTGCAACTTCCATTCTGGATCCGGAGAGGTGTCTGCGGACTCCTGTGGATGTGCAGTCTTCACGTGGGAAGCATGGATCTAAGCAGCGATGCCGTCCACTTTGAGTGCAGTAGGAGTGGTCAGCAGGATAGTGTAGGGTCCTTTCCACCGCGGTTCGAGGTTCCTGCTCTGGTGCCTGCGTACCCAGACGGTATCTCCGACCTTGAAGGGATGTGGCAGCAAGGGGGTTTTAAGTTCCTCTTTGTATGCTGCGGCTAGAGGCTTCCAGACCTCGTTCTGGACCAATTGCAAAGCATGCAAATGAGTCTGCATAGATGGGGTGAGGGAGGCATAGGTTTTAGTTTTATAAAAGTTAATAGCGGGAGGTGGGGCACCGTACAGGATTTTAAATGGGGTTAGTCCATGTGGGCCTGGGGTGTTTTGGGCCCCATACAAGGCTAAAGGTAGGAGTTGTACCCAGTCTCTAGTGCCAGTTTCAAGTGTCAATTTAGTTAAAGTCTCCTTAATGGTTCTATTTATCTTTTTTACCTGTCCTGAACTTTGGGGTCTATAACCATAATGTAATTTTTAATTAATCTCCAATGTATTGGCTACCGCCTGACTTACCTGGGAGACGAAGGCAGGCCCATTAAATGTTTCCTTTTTGGTCCTCATTATCAGGATCAAAGGGAGTAAACCTCCGATAAGCCTCTTTTAATTTTTCTAAGAAGGCTGTCGGAGTTTCCTCTGACCCCTGGATAGTCTGTCTTACCTGAGCCAAATTGGTGGGCCGTCGCCCTGCTCCATGGAGACCCCCCTGCTCCATGGAGACCCGCTATGAGTAACTGGCGATAGAGATGTAGGTGGTTCTCACCTGCTTCAGTCGCATAGTCCCAGTTTGGCCGGGTTAAAGGAAAAGCTTCGTTAATCAAATTTGTGAGTTGGGTGGGGCGCCCGTCGTCCCCTGGCACATTTTTGCGAGCTTCCAAAAGAGCCTTTTGTTTTTCCTCTGTGTCTAATAGAGAAATCTTTAATTCTGCTACTTAGGGCTGGATAACCATATTAGCAAACATCAAGTCTACCTGTGTTGTCTAGAAATAAAAGCCTTAGACTAAAACTATTCTAGTAGTTTCTTTGACAGTTATCAGGCATTTCTGTCTAAGAATCTCTCTTGTAGCCTCCAGTCTATTTATTTATGGAAGTTACATTTAATTATTATTATCATTTAAGATGTCCAGGAACAGCTGTGCTTTGGCTTTGACTGTCTTTGCTAAGTGTTTAAGATGAAGCAAGTCAAACTGACTTTTGTTTCTACCTATTGTTTACAGTCAGCTGAGTTATCCTGGGAGTCCTCGGGAACTTCATAGCAGCTTTTCAGTTCTGCTAGTGCCATTTGCGCTAGGATGGGTCCAGGCCTTGTTTGACCATATGGCTTCCCTCAGAAGCATCAGGGATGTCTCCCTTTTTTAATGACCCTCCTCTTTACAGCAAATGCACCATTTGGCTTTCTGTCCTCCACTGGTCTCATTAATCTCCCTGCTCAGGAGGTTATGTGGCCTAGAGTTGCTGAGCCCTTTGGAGAAGTCCCCTATTCCCTGATTCAGACTGACTCAGAGGGCAAGAGCCAAATATTGGTTTTCTTGGCCCTTTTAATTTAACTAATTTTAAAAACTTGATCTTAAACATCCAGCAAATAAGTTAACAGCCTTATATTAAGAGCACTGGGCTTTAATGTCTATCTCTCTATCCTGTAGGTGATAACTCTTTATCTTATGTTGACCCAGGTTGTGTTCTTAAAGCAATACCTCTTTAGAATATTAATAGGCAATCCTTAAACCATCTATAAGCAAACTACAAAACAAAACTAACTAGGGTAAAAACATATTTAGCTTATATAATAGCTACCTTGAATTCTGGCAGGGTTATACATCATAATTTCCTGTTTGAGATCCTAGTAATCTTGGCAAAAACCTACTTTTGGACACAACTTTAACTGTACTGAAATCTGGCTTACTTTTTTTCATAGCCATTTTCACATGTAGTGAGATGGGACAGAGCCTTATCTCAAGTAAGGCAGGGCTCTTTATAAATTTTAAGTACTATAGTTCTGAAGCTGATCATTTTATAAAGTTTACATAAATTGTTGTTCAAGTTTACATGAACATTAGCTAACACAACATAATATCACACCTAAAATATGAATTAAAGGCTGAAAGCTTTTAACCTCTTGTAGAAAAGTAGTAATGTACTTTTGTGTTTTGCAATAAAACCTTCACACAGATTAGGCTCTTATTAACTTAAAAATACATAAATTGTATCTTAGAGTAGAAAGTAACATGGAACTGTACATATCTTATTGATAACAAGTTCAGTTATAGAACACAAATGATATAATTGAATTTCTAACATTTTTTTTTAAGCCTAAAATTACCATACAACTTTAGAACACCAGCTTGATATAATGTTCTTTTGAAGCTTTTACCTTACAGACTTGTATACCTGGAAGATATGAACACATTAATAACACCATAATTACATAAACCTCCTTTTGTTCACATTTTGAAACAATACTTGTAAACTTTTAAATTTAAGCAGAGTTAACATTTTATTAGGGCCTTTTTGAACACCTAGAGAAACTTATAAGCTTAATTTTGAGGACATCTTTACTTTTATCTGTTTACCCAATCTAAATTGAACCGTTTGAATCACGTGAATTAAAGATATTTGGATCTATTTTTAATTTTTTTTTTTCAGGCTACCCAGTTCAAAATTGAAACTTTTAAAATTTTTTATCCCAAGTATTTAAGTTTTCTAGCATGAACTATCTGAAATCAAACTAAACAATTGCTTAAACCCAACTTTTAACTGCAAGATAGTGCAATGTTTTAGAAACCCATTCAGATACCAGATTGTTACAATAAAAATTATTATTATTTATTTTTTAGACACATATTTAACCTAGATTATCCCTAAGAAACAATTAGACAACCAGATAAGAAAATATCTCTCCAGGTTTTGAACTTTCATTTAATTATGACTCCCATCAGTGGCACCATAGATTTTCCTATGAGTGGACCAGATGTTTTCACGTAGGGGCAACTATAGGTGTAAAATCAAGGGTCTCAGTGTGACTGGCTTTACTGCATTCAGTGTCCCTTCTTTTTAAGTAAACAGAGGTTAAGTAAACAGATCCTTAAGATGTAGATAAGGACCCAGGGAACTCCCCAGAGCTAAATGGCTCTGGCAGCTGCTGGGAGTCCCTTAATCCTATCTTTCACCCACAGGATCAGTTCCTCTAGTTTAGGTATTTTTTTTTTTTTAACTTGTTAGTAGCCAGCTCCCAAAAAGTCCATCCTCTGCTTGCAGTTGTTTCGAGTGCTAGGCTTCCCCAAGAAAGCAGAGTGGGAACTCCTTAAAAGTCCCCTTGAGAGTGTCAAAATTTGTGACTGAAAATTTGGTTCCCATCTCTAAAGCCAATTAACATTAATTTAATAATGAGGACAGGGCTTTGAGAAAAGTCAAAGCGAGATGTCAAAGTTGTTGATGCCCCAGCAGGCATCTCTATTTGCACTCAAGCCGGTTATGGGGGGGGAAGAAAACATTGCTTCCCTAGTCTCAGTATTCAGCCTTAGATAGAATTTATCATCCGCCTTGGGCTGCATTTCCAAGCAGCCCGACTCCAGGAAGACCCGTTCGCTTCCTGGGGTGGAGGGGCCGGGAGGAACAGGGACGGGACAGATCCGCCATACCGCCGGGTGGAATCCTCCCGGCGGACTGCGTGGATCCCACCCATGCAGGAGGGGATTCGCAGAGGTCCTGAAAGGTTAAAAGCCATGATCTGGATGGCCATGCGGCCCCGGCTGAAAGACAATCTCTGACTTTGCAAATTAGAGAGAGAGATGGAGGGACTCTCCTGGGGGCCATTTAACTTCGAGGGTGGGCCAATATTGGCCACTCCGTGGTACAGAGTGTTACCCATTTTTTCTTTTTGACTGCCACGGACAGGTTGTCTGCCCGATCTTGAACGTCTTGCCAATGATCTAGAGTTAGGCTCAAAGGGGTTGTTAGTGATTGTCCCATGTTATTCTCAGAGAGGAAATAGAGAGACAGACACAATGACACAAAAACGAAACCAAACAGTGAGATCGCTGCGCGGCTTCGGTGGAAACCGAACAAATCAGATGGCCTGGGAGAAGTTTGTACTTCTTTGTCGCCTACAAAAATGGTATAACCCTCGGAAACACCGGGGGCCCCAAAGAAATGGACCCTTCTGATCCCTGGGACGTCTCCCAGGGTGGCAGGGGAGAAGTCCGAGTTCGTCAACTCCTTCTCAAGCTGCCTCAGAATACTAAATGACAGAACTGCCTCAGAATACTCAGAATACTAAATGACTATGCCTAGGATCATATAGTCTTACAGACGCTGCGCGGAACAAAGAACAGATAACCAACAGGACAACAAGACAGTCAGTTTGAGCTGGCCAGCTTACCTCCCAGTGATGTCGGGTGTCCTCCGGATAGGGACCGGGATCGGAACCGGAACCGGGATCTTGGATCTCGGTGGAACCTCCACAATGAAATATCCACAGATCCCAAACCCGGAATGAACCACACGAGACACTGGCTGCAAAGAGCAGGAGGCGTTTATTCTCACACAGGCGCCTGCGGGTGCACAGCAAAACCTCAGCCGGAGCTTCGGTGAACTGGCACACCGGGCTTTGGGGTATAGATCTTTTATAGGGAACAGGTGGGTTAGGTCTTAGCTTAGCACAGCAACAGCCTTCCTATTGGTCCCTCTGAATTCAGCAGTTGAGTCACCTAGGGGGGTAAACTTGTTTTCTCACTTTAGTTCTCAGAAAAACCATAAAATTGCATCCTGTCCTTTTAGTTCCTGTTTTTACCCCGTTTGCTCAAGTTTGGCCCTTCCGGGGTTATCTATATGGAACATCTTGCAGCTTCAGGGCACAGGGGTTAGTTTTCCTAATGTTGGGCCTGGGGCCTTGGGGTCCTTCAGTTACATATGTAGTTCTTTCTTAGTCCTCACCAGTATTCCCCCAACATTAATATTGTTAGTATTAATATTCATCCGTACCTAATAATAGCATCAAAGATATTGGGTATCTTATATCTGAGGGTGTCATATACATCAATCCATCTCTTTGCTTATAAGGTCAAGTAGTCAGACTTGATACTTTCTCCTGCAGTGTATCTTATACTTTTTCCCTCTGTGTCTAATAAGCTGAACTGACTGCAAATTTCCCCTTACATAAACTAGCAAATACTTATCTAAAATAACCAAAATCCAAATAACTTGTAGGAGAAAACTTAATAAAGAATAGCTTATTATTTTAAGGACATCCCTCAGAGCTATAGTGATAAATTAAATTATATTACATTTCTCAATAAAGAAACTATGTTCTCCAAAGCACATAAAATTGGTTCCAAAATTAAAAATTCAGAAGTTAGACTTAAATGAATGTCATCAATTAATTTTTATAAAAGAACTGGAACCATTTTGAAAAAGTTCAATTGTCTTCTAAATGAAAATTAGATAAATAACTTCATATTATTAAGAAAAATTATTATGATTTGCAAGATAGACCTAGAAGGCTTTTTAGCCTTCAGTTAAAAAATATCAGTCCTCCAGTGTAGCCCTCAGATCTTTGACCCACAAATGAGTAGAATTCAGAGGAATTTATCTCGGAAAGCAAGATTACTAGTTAATGACAATGCCTGTTTTTATTTCTGCCTCTGCTCTCTTCAGCAATAATGAGGGTTTTTTTAAATACTCTATCATAGAACAAATAAATACTTAAGTTTTTAAAAGCTCGAAGTACCATCTTGTAAGTTGGACCCTACAGTTGAGAATCTGATACACTGTTAAAGCAGTATATTCTCCACGTGCTTTAGACTGTCCTGGATTTCAGCTGCAGTCTTGCAGCCCCTTGAAAGGTTTCTGCCTCTTCACTTCTTTAGAAAGTGAATAGAGAATAAAAAGAGTTGCTCTGTTCATTACTATGTTTTTGGCACAGGAATCAGTAAAAATGCTGTACCAGTGCTTGATAGTGATAATCTGACCAGTGATACAAAAAGACATAAAATCTTAGTCCTACAATTTTTTGCATTTTCATTTTTACTGTTTTTCTTTGAGGTGCCTATAAGAAAGAAAACAAGAAAGTATTTCTATATCCCTAGCCATCCTGTTTAGTCACCCTGTTTGAATCAATGTGAAGAACTAAAAACACCAAGGAGTTCTGCAGAGAATTTTACAACACAGCTTAAAATAACCAACTCATTCATGGCCATCTTCTCAATGGTGCAAATGGCCTTAATCCCAAATATCATAATCTAGCTGAAACAAGATGAAATGGACCATTTTCTGTGCAGTATCATTATAAAAAAAATAAGAGCATTTGCTGAAATGTGATATCTGTAATAACAAGCCACAGGGAGAGAGAAAGAAAAGCAAAACATCCTTGAACAGTGATGGTCTACTATTACACTTAGCTTACCACACAAATTGGTCCCAGCAGTTTTCTCTTTAATTCAGGATTTATGGAAACATCTGAGATTATAAAATTAACCGAACAAAAACAGATGCTGTAATTGTAAGGGGCCCAATTCTTGGATGAATACCAGAGCTAAACATTAGTATATGGAGTGAAAACATTTTAACTTAAGTTCTTATATATCAGTTTACAAGCTGATGTAAATATTCCACATGAAAATAACTATCTAAACAGCTTGGAGAAATGAAATTATGTTCACATAAGTGGCTCATTTTTCTCCCTTTCAGAAGGGAAGACAAGGGCTATTAAAATGATAATTTCTTCAAGTTTCTTAATTAATAATATAAAATCTCCCACCTATATTTACAATTCCTTAGGAAGAAGGGGAAGAGGCATGTCTTAGATATAACTCCCAAATTGTGCTTTTATGTGGCTCTAGGGTGATACATAAAAACTCCATTGTCATCTAGTTTGCATATTTATTGTGGAAGACCAATTTTGAGCAGCACTTAACATTTAGTCTGAGGGATCTCCAACTGGAAGAAAAAAAGGAGTCTTGACCTTTGAAGAGTAACTATTTAAAGGTAGAAAAAGAAATATATACTTCTAGACTAGCCTGCACCTAGATATTTTTAAAAGCCCTGGAAACTATCTGTAGAAAAAAAAGAACCATGAAAAATGAAGTTTGCTAGTTGTATTTCCATTTAAGGGCTGGGTGTGGTTGTAGCAACTGGTTCCTTGCGGCTATGCCTCTGCAGAGACTGTTTATAAGGTATAAATATGAAGGAAATTAGAGACTTAAGATCAGGCAAATAATGTGTTCTTTTTAGGAATGAAGGACTTTTAAGTGATCTAAGATGCTTTTTCTGTAAAGTAGTGGGTTTCTCTGAATAGAAGAACACACGGCAGAGGCTGTGGTTCCAAGACTGGGTAAAAGGACTTTGTAAACACACCCAGAGAAATGTCAGGATAATACCTCCAGGGGACCTTGGCCAAGATTTGTTTATTGGATTTACACAATTGAGCCAATCATGATTAAATTGCCTCGGGGCAAAAGTTCAAAGGGATAACAATCAGAAAGCATAAAAAGTGGAGCAACAACTGGCGTACATTAAAATAAATAAGATGTCAGTGTAAAGAGATATGTCTTTCAGTTCTTTACAGTTCAGCTTGTAGAAAGTCATTAGACAAGGATTGGGCCAAATTATAGTGAACAAAGAATCTCACAAACAAGGGCCTTCCACAGAAATCTAATTTCTTCCCAAGCCCTTTACAGATGCAATGTGGTAACTGTTAGCTGGAACCCTCCAGCTGATTTATATTTCTATGAAGCTGAATAAGCAGTGATTCCCACATTGTATTCCAGGGAATACGAAATCCACAGCATGTTCATAAGTGTTAGCCAACCACTGGCTTTTCCTACCATGTTGATTCATCCAGGAAATATGAATTTAAACCTATTTACCAGGTGGTCTAAGATCCTAGAATCTAGGTTTTCCAAACTTTTTGACCTCACTTTGAGAAAACTAAATATAAGTTAACTCCTGTATAAGTTCGGTATATAGTTTTAGGCTCAAAGGTTAAGAAAGTTGATTGGTTGGTCCTTTCTGACCCCAAATCCCAGTCAGCCCATTTTCCCTCTATAGTAGGCAGCTTTTCTACCTACTTTGAGACTCTAGCCCCTTCATGTTTTTCCCTCCCAAATATTCATCTGACTCAAAGTAATATAAAAGTGGTTGGTAGTCACTTGAGAGCTTTCTTTTGCAAATACATTCGCATCGTAACAGTATAGAAATTTTGATGTGAAAGAATGAAATTCTTACTGAGATACTTTAGGCAAGCAACTGAGACAGTGTTTGGGAGACTAATAAAGGTAATTTTAGTATCTTTGCACTCAAGCACAAGAGAGTAATGCCTGACAATGACCTAATCCAAACTACTGAAGTCTTGGGAAATCACTTAGAATTTTCTTTCTATATTTTTATTGATGTATTATAGTTATACATAATGGTTGTTACATATTCATACATGCACACAATACAACAACATAATTTAGCCAAAATTATTAACATTATCTCCCCTTTCCATTCCCTTCTACCTCCCCTCGGTCCCTTTCCTCTGTTCTACTAATCTCCCTTTGATTTTCATGAGAGTTCTCTCACCAATTTTGAGCAGCACTTTGCACTTATTCAGAGTAGCTCCTTTTTCCCCTCTAGTTTCCCTATATGAGAAAAAACATATGACCCTTGACCTTCTGAGTTTGCCTTATTTCACTTAACATAATGTTCTCAAGTTCCATCTATTTTCCTACAAATAACAGAATTTTATTTTTATTTGTGGCTGAATAAAACTCCATCCACTTAGCATTTTGAATTGGACCTAAAGGTCTTTGAAGCACTTTTTTCTCAAGTTTCTCATATGTGAGCAATTTCATGAGTCCTGTGGATAAGAAAGAGGACTGCCACAATCCCCCTTTTCAATTTTCCAATTGTCTACCCCAGGAGAACAGCAAACCTGTCACAGCACACAGCCCTCTTTCACAGAGTGGCCCTTAAGAACCACATTTAGGGGACTGGGGCTGTGGCTCAATGGTAGAGTGGTGGCCTAGCACGTGCGTGGCGCTGGGTTCTATCTTCAGCATCGCATAAAAATAAATAAATAAAATAAAGATATTGTGTCCAACTGCACCTAAAGAAAAAATTTTTTAAAAAAGAACCAGATTCAGTAGAAAGTTCTCCCAGAATCCTTTAAATAATTTCTCTATATCTTCTACTTATTAACTCTTATTATTCTACCCATAGAAATATTGCACATTGTTCTCCAAGCTTACTATCTCCATTCTATGTATGGCAGAACCTAAGACCCCTAACAATTTTATAAATGTGTTTCAAATATTAACTTAATCATCAATATCACTTAAACCTGAACTGTTTATACCAAATATGATATTCAGTTTAGGACAATGGAGCTACTCTATCCTATGATCTAGATATTCATCTACCAGTTACTCAGAATGTTATTTGTGTTGATTTTCATTCATTCTCAAGTGGTAACAATATTTAATTTATTGTATACATACACTTTTCCCAATGATTCCCTAACAAAATCCCAACATAACTCATTATTTCCGCTCCACTGTGCCCCATGAGGTTGACTGATAGAAAGAAAACAGTATCACACAAGAATGAGAGCTTGATGGCATGAATTCAGCAGAAAATAAGCTCCTTAGGAGTTGGAAAGGGTTTTAAAGAACTTGGTGAATGGCTGTTTTGGGTCATATAAGAATTGGGAAGAAGAGTAATGACATTTTAAAAAGGATTAAGACTGCTCAAAAATGGGCTCCCCAAAATGTGACTTAAGACACAAAAAATTATATATAAGCTGCATTTAAATTATGTTTCTTTATTGGACTTTGATACTTTATAACATGCTGCAGAGATTGGATGTTTGAGGGCTTTAGGATTTATAAAAATTTACTAACTCAAAATGTGGACTAT